AATCAGTGTGAGTCACCATAGGCTCAAAGTAAAGAAGACAAATGATATAAACAAGTGTTATAAAAAATTCAACATCCATTGGTAATACCCTCAGTAAACCAAATATCCCCCTACCCCCACCCCGTGATCCTCACCTCCTGATGTCATGCCCCTGTATAATCTTCTTTGAGTGTTGGCAGGACGTGTGACTTGCTACTAATCAACAGAATGTGGCAAATATGATGGAATGTCACTCCCACAACTAAATTATATTATATAACTCCATCTGGCTAAGAGACTCAAAGCTACCTTGGGGGAGAATTACATGGCAGGGAACTAAATATAGTCTCCAGGTCCCATGCGTGGTCTCCAGCTAACAGCCAGCAAAAAGTGCAGCCTGGTGAAACTTTGAAGCAGGGGACCCAGATAAACCATGCCCCAAATTCCTGACCCACAGACATTGAGAAATAAATAATATGTATTGTTTTAAGCTGCTACATTTGTGGTGATTTGTTATAGAGCATTAGAAAATTAATAAAAGATTTTTGGTGCTTAGAATTAGGGTTCTGCTGTAACTAATTTTTAAAAATATGTGGTGGCTTTGGAAGCACTCAGTAGTCAGTCACAGACTGGAGAATATTAAAAAACAAGAAAAAGCATACATTTTCTTGAAAAGACTATTAGAAGAAATCTAAACTTTGAGGGCTCTGCTAGTGAGGGCTCAAAGGGAAGTGAATGGCAGGTTACTGGAATTTTTTTCAATCTGATAAACAGCATATATTTAAAAAACAAGTAAAAATTACACATAACGGTGAAACTCTAAATGCTTTCTCTCTAAGGCTGTCAACAAGGCAATGATGCCTGCTTTCACCTCTGATGTTCAACATGTTAAGGAGGTCTTAGCCAAGACCATTAGGTAAGAAAACAAACAAAGAAATGGCATTTAGATAAAAAATGATGAAATAAAACTGTCTTATTCACAGGTAACATGACATTTTACATAGAAAATTTCCCCAAAATCTAAACATGCAATTTAATGGAATTACTAAGTGAGTTTAGTAAGATTGTAGAAGATCAGATAAATATTGAAAATCAATTGTATTTGCACATGCTGGCAGTAAGCAATTGGAATAATAAAAAATCATTTGCAATAGCACAAAACCCATAAAACACTTAGAATAAAATGAACAAAATTTGTATGCTGAAATCTATAAAATGTTGATAAAATTTAAAATACCTAAATAAGTATGGAGCTAAACTATGCTCAGGGATGAGAATATTCAATATTTTTGAGATGTTAAATTCTACCCAGTTTTATCTATTGTTTTAATGCAATCCCTATCTTAATTCCAGCAGACTTGTATATTTTTTGTATAAATTAGCAAGCTAATTATAAAATATACATGAAGAGCAAAACATACTAGCCCAAACAATTTTGATAAAGAACAAAGTTGAAGGACTCATATTCCCTGATTTCATGACTTACTATTATGTAAAGCTACAGTAATTAAGACAGTAGAGAATTTGTGTAAAAACAAATGTACAGATTAACAAAAATAAAAAATTCAGAAATAAACTCAAATATATGTGATCAATTGTTTTACAACAACGTATAAAAAAATCAACTTTAAATGGATCATATACATAACTGTAAAACCTAAACTATAAGAGTTTCAGAGGAAGGCACAGGGGAAATCACTATTGCTATAAATTTAGCAAAGATCTTAGATAAGAAAGAACAGCACAAACCATAAAAAGTTATTAAATGGAAATTCATTAAATTCAAAACCTTCTTTTTGAAAGGTGCTACTTAGAAAATAAAGAGATCGGTCTGGGAGTGGTGGCTCATGCCTGTAATACCAGCACTTTGGGAGGCTGAGGTGGGTGGGTCACCTGAGGTTGGGAGTTCGAGATCAGACTGACCAACATGGAGAAACCCCATCTCTACTAAAAATGCAAAATTAGCCAGGCATGGTAGTGCAAGCCTGTAATCCCATGTACTAGGGAGTCTGAGGCAGGAGAATTGCTTGAACCCGGTAGGCAAGGTTGTGGTGAGCCGAGATTGCACCACTGTGCTCCAGTCTGGGTAACAAGAGTGAGACTCTGTCTCAAAAAAAGAAAAAAAAATTAAGAAAGAAAGAAAGAGAAAATAAAGAGATCAGCCATAGAATAAGAGCAGATCTTGGCTTACAAATATCTTCTAAAGGTCCAGAATATAAACATAATTCTTATAATTCAATTATAAAAAGGCAAGCCAATAAAAATGAAAAAATTGAATTTTTACCAAAGAAGCAATACAGATTATAAATAAGTACATGAAAAGATGCTAATTAGACATTAGAAATATAAATAAAAACCACACTGAAATGCCATTTCTACTACACTGCCTAAAATTAAAAATAATAAAAAACTGACAGAACCAAATTCTGGCAAAGACGAGGAACAACTGAACTCTGAACAACTGAACTGGTAGAAACGCACAATTGAATAGCTTTGGGAAAGTGGTTTGGAAGCTTCTTATCAGGTTAAACATACATATACGTACTAGTCAGAAAACTACTCCCAGGGGTTCACCCAATAGAAATGAAAATATATGCTAACACAAACACTTGTGTGTAGTTTATACTAGCTTTATTTATAACAGCCAAAAACTGGAAACAACACAAATGCCTATCAACTGATAAATAGATACACAAACAATGTTATATCCATACAATGGAATACTACCTGGCAATAAAGGGGAATGATGTATTGATTATTGAAAAATTACAAATTAATTTCAAAATCATTATGTTAAGTAAAAGAAGTCAGACACGAAAATATGATATCATTTATCTGTCATTTTGAAAAAGACAAAACAATAAGGGTAGAAATCATCAGTGGATGACTGGGCTAAGGGAAATTTTTGAGGTGATGCAATAGTCTATATCTTGACTATGGAGATGGCCACATGACTATATACATTTGTTAAAATTCATTGAACCATATGCCTAAATGGAGTTAATTTTATTTTTTTGAGACAGGGTTTCACTCTGTGGCTCAGGCTGGAGTGCAGGGGCATGATCATGGCTCACTATAGCCATGTCATTCCAGGCTAAAGTAACTCTCCCACCTTAGTCTCTCAAGTAGCTGGGACTACAGGTGCACGCCACCACACTAGGCTAATCTTTTGCAATTTTCGTAGAGACAGGGTTTCACTACGTTGATAGGGTCAGTCTTGAACTCATGTAATCCTCCTGCCTTGGCCTCCCAAAGTGTTGGGTTTACAGGTGTAAGAAACCGTGCCAGAGTGAATTTTATTGTATGTAGATAACATCTTTAAAAATCTGACTTCAAAATTTGACAAACAATTTATATTTACTTTTCATAATTTCTATGAATTTCAAAACTGCTTAATGTTTATAGTGTTTTGCATTTTTCCTGAAATAAGTCATATTTGTTTATCTTTTAAACAAACAGTTAAACATATGAAGGAATTAGACATATCCAGTAATGGCCATAGACTTGAAATTTCTCAAAGATGTAATTTATCATCTGGCTTCTACTCCCAAAGACCTACCATGATTCCTAAATAAGATGAGCTATTAAATTTAAATACTTAGAAAAAAAGCAATTTATCAACACTGGATTGTTTTGAATCAAGTCAAGGACATGGTTGTAATCCTAGTGGGAGAAATTAGTAACATCTATTTCATTGAGATGTCAAGATTGCATTTTAGTTTAAGAGTTTTGGGAAAAGCTTTTTAGGGTTTTGTTTTCTCTTTTTGTACTTCCCTATTTACTTTTCAGGGAGAAAAACTGTAATTTTTAAGCACTTTTTATTGCTTGATGTTTTACATTTCATACAAAAGGCCTCAGATTATTTCACAAACCATTCACTGTAAAGATCTCCATCTTAACTTCCACCTCATTCTTTTACATTCTATTCCACTCCTCATCTCATGTAGAGACTCTTCCCATCATCCATAGAGAACCACTTTCACTATTCCCTCTCCTCAACTCTGTTGGTATAAAATTTCCCATCAATTTCCCTTTGATAAATTTATTTATGTCTTCTTCTAAAAACACTCCATCCATTAAATGTCTTTCCAATGGGCTTCAGTTTCCCCTAGCCTCCTACACTTCATCAAACAAAAGATTGAGGAATTTTTCTCAAATCCTACTGTCAGCTTTGTATAATGAAAATGCCAGTCTTACTCTGAAGCTCATTATTTGCCATCCAATACCACTGATTTGTTTCAACCTCTTCTAAATATTGCAACTGTCAGTAGCCTCTCTAGATTTTATTTTTACTTACATTATTAAGTGACTTTAACATTCAGGTTCATGACTTCTCCAATCGATTTATTTTACTGCTTCCTGACGTACTTGATTCCACGGACTTATGTCACTATACCACAGATGCAATTTACCAACATGGTCACTTGCCTGGTATCATTTTTCCATGGCATTTCTTAATTAACAGATCTTGGACTACAAATACCTATTTTCTGATCACAGCATCTTTATCATCCATGTCTTCCATTCTCTTTTCCTCCTAGGGTTTTCTCTTTACTCTGCTATAGCCTCTGGTATACAAGTACTTTGTATTTCTGGTCATTACTTTATTTCCTTGAACTACATGATAGGTTATTTTTATGTACTTATCAATACCTTAAATTTGCATTATCTTGAACTTCTGGCAGGTCCTTGATGCTAATTTTTCACCATGACCATAACTAATAACTCTTTTCTTAGTTTCAACTCTTATCTATGGAATGTTACCTGAGAGCTGTGGAAAATGGTGACAAAGTTTGCCTCAAAATAATACCATCTTTTGCAAATTGGGTATTCATTGCTACTCAGCAATATTTTAAATCATCTTTTGTCAAACTATTCTGATTAATTTTTTCCATCATTCTATTAAGTGCTATGTCAATTATACATTTAAATTTAAAGTATTATGTGTATTTCATCTATTTTGGTACATTATTATACAATGGAAACATAAATACAAATAAAATTTAATCACGCATACTCACTTAGAAATGGGATTGACACTGGCTTCAATAATTGTTAAACACTTACAGCACTTTATGTTTTCTGGAAATTCTTGTACACCTAAAATGTGAAAAAAGCAAAAGTACATGAAAATGTTCCAACAAACATTCTTTAAACTATAGTTCTAATATTTACATACTTATTAAAACTATGAGTCAGTACATAGTGTAAACACTATTTAGGATAACCATTTAAGTAGAAATAAAAACTTAATAACATATCAATATTATTAATCATATATACATAATTTAAAAAAAAATATATATTTTATTGCGTTTTAGGTTTTGGGGATACATGTGAAGAAGATGCAAAATTGTTGCACAGGTACATAAATGGCAAAGTGGTTTGCTGCCTTCCTCTCCATCACCTATATCTGACGTTACTCCCCATGTTATCCCTCCCCAACTCCCCACCCCCCACTGTCTCTCCCCTAGTTCCCCCCCACAGACCTCAGTGTGTGATGCTCCCCTCCCCAACAATGAGAACACATATACATAATTTTTTTTTCCTTGAGATGGGGTTTCACTCTTGTTACCCAGGCTGGAGTGCAATGGCGCGATCTTGGCTCAACGCAACCTCTGTCTCCTGGGTTCAGGCAATACTCCTGCCTCAGCTTCCTGAGTAGCTGGGATTATAGGCACGTGCCACCATGCCCAGCTAATGTTTTGTATTTTTAGTAGAGATGGGGTTTCACCATGTTGACCAGGATGGTCTCAATCTCTTGACCTTGTGATCCAACCGCCTCGGCCTCCCAAAGTGCTGGGATTACAGGCGTGAGCCACCGCGCCTGGCCCCATAATTTTTAATAAAGGTTGAATGTTAAATAATATTTTATGATAAGAGTTTAAAATTGGATATAAAATTGAGGACAATTGTATATATGGCCTAAGATAAATCTTTGATCTTTAGTAACCTAAAGAAATAAAAATAGCTTAAATTAAGTTATAGTGCCACTACTGAGAGAAGGGAGAACAAGTAGGTATTAAAAAAAACAAGATAAAATCTTTACTTCCAATAATCATTTTATAAGGTTAGGAAAGTTGAACACATACTTAAGAACACATTCCAAAACTGAAAAATGCTCCCCCTGAAAGTAATATGGGGCTCTGGTAAATTTTATACAATTCATTTTTGTTGGCTGTACAGAGTATAGCTCTGCATCTGCCTGAAAGTATGAAGAGTCAAGCAGCTTTCCTTGGGTCCTCCCTGGAGTCTCTGAGGTAGCCAGCCTGGCTATTTGCCCTTGGAGAATTGCTCATCTGTTGTCACAGCTGTGCTATTGGCTATGTGACAAAAAAAAAAAGAAAAAAAAAACAAAACAAACAAAAAAACACAAACACACACACAAAGTTTTCTATGAAACTGAAAATACAGAAGCTGCAAACCTAATCCATAAATGTGAAGGTCAGAGGAATAAAAGATGTGGGGGACATTTCAACTAATTGATGTAAATGAATTAATGTAGCAGACCCTAAAGAAGTTAGAAGGGGAAGAAGCTATACCAAGCTGTTACTATATGATATGCCTGCAGTACCACTTTCTCTAAATTTTTGAAACTATTATCAAGGATGTGAAAATTTCCAAAAAGAACTGGCCTTTCCTAGTACTTCACATCTGACAGAAGGATAAGGAACACTTTGTGGCAGTATATAATTGACCTTTTTGATGATGGATACTCAAGAAACAAAATATTTCACCTTTCCATATTCCATTCATCTAGACTACCATGTCCACAAGACTTTAGAGCCCTTGAAGCAGCAGGAAGGTAGCAAAATCCAGGACAGGTCACTTATCCACTGCCAAATGGGGGTCCAAAGGGAGGTTTGTGACATTTCTCACCCCATTTCTCTGTATTTAAAATTTTGCCAGAAATTATGCAGTTCTAAAATTATTACTGAACTATTTTGACTTCTAAATAAGAGCCCCCAAAAGTTTTGGAGCTCCATTATATATGAATTTAATGAGAAAGCCTGTTTCTTTCTTTCTCTCTCTCTTTCCTTTCTTTTTTTTTTTTTTTTTTGGAAGGCCATAATACCCAGAACTTTCATTAAATAGTCACTAAAAAAAGGGCGGCGAGGTTAATAATCTAACTTATGAATCATCCTTAACATTTTCCCATAAAATTCTTTACTTTAAATATCTTGAAAAGTAGTATAAACTTCTCATTTTCTTTGTTTAGCTTTTTCTGTTCACTCTCCAATCTGGACTCATTGCATGCTGGCATGCATAATGCCTTATCTCCACAGGTTCCTGCCTTAAAATGGTATATACTTAAATTATGTGTAAAGCAGGACATGAAAGCAGAAGTAAATTAAAATATAATTTTAAGGAAAAGATGATGTCTCTTTATCTTCTACTGAAAATGGAATTGCCTACTGTGGTAAAAATGGTGCTATATTATTTGTTTAAAAATTTGTATTATGTTGTTTACAGTTTAAATTTAAAATAATTCAGAGCACAGTCTGTTGGTTTAAGATAGAATCCTAGCTGTATACCCTCTGGCTGGGTAGTCCTAGGCAAGTCCTTCAAAATCCCAATGCCTTAGCTTCCCACTCTGAAAAAAACTGATTATATGAATGGTTTTATCATAGAGTTGTAATGAGGATTAAAAGAGATTATATAGAAAAGCAATTGGCACAAAGTGCTGTAATAATGTTATCTATAATTATTAGAAATAAAAAAAAATCAGAGGATGTAAGTCAAAAAAAGAATGAAAAACATATCAAAATGATCTGGATTCAGGTATAAAAGTGTAAAATTTGTCTACCTCAGAGAATATAGGAAAAAGGTAAGAATTAGTGTACTGAAAGAATATAATATATACTGTGCAAATATATATATCTTATTAATCTATGTGTATGTGTGTGAATATATACACACACTCTTAAAGCTGCTGTTCTTTGAGACTTAAAAGTGCCAGACATTGTGCCAAGGTTACAGACATAAAAAATGGGAGAAAAAAGATTTCATGACTTTTTTCTTAAATTGATATTCTAACTTAGAAGAATGACTGAAAGAAAAACTCTATAGAAAAATCAAATGATAAATGTGAAGAAGTCTTCCAGAAAATGTGGTAATATCAGGCAAAAAAGCAGTAAAGATAAATTTAGAATAGTTGAGACAGTATCCGAGTAATAGAAGTTCTAAGGAGAGTAAACTGAGAACACACAGGATAGAAAATACTAAAGGAACACTTCAAGAATACTTCAGTAATTTCTAAAAATGAACAAGATTATTTCAGATTACATAGCAAAGACTTGGAACCAACCCAAATGCCCATCAGTGATAGACTGAATAAAGAGAAGTTGGCACATATACACCATGGAATACTATGAAGCAATAAAAATAGATGAGTTTATGCCCTTTGCAGGGACATGGATGAAGCTGGAAACCATCATTCTCAGCAAACTAACACAAGAACAGAAAACCAAACACTGCATGTTCTCATTCCTAAGTGGGTGAACAATGAGAATGCATGGACACAGGGAGGGGAACATCACACACGGGGGCCTGTTGAGGGGTGGGGAAGCTAGGGGAAGGATAGCAGGGGGTGGGGGAGATTGGGAAGGGATAACATTAGAAGAAATACCTAATGTAGATGATGGGGGGATGGATGTAGAAAACCACCATGGCATGTGCATACCTATGTAACAATCCTGCATGATCTGCACCCCAGAACTTAAAGTATAATAAAATAATAAAAATAAAAAAAGAAAAGCTCACTCATTCAATGAGTATTGAGAATTAAGAGAGGAGAGAAAAATCAGGTTTCATACAAAGGATCAAAATCTAGATGACATTTGACTTCTCAAAAAATATTTAGAATGAGAAAATTACATAGAAATATATCCAACCTCTGAAGGAAGATGGTTTTCAACTAAAATCCTATGAACCATCAAACTATTATCCCCCAACTATAAAAATGAGGGTGAAATAAGGACATTTTCAGAGTGACATAAGCAAGATGGCAGAATAGGAGTTTTCTAACATCTCACAGTTTACTGATTTTGGCAAGCATCTGCAGATGAGAATATTTTTGTGGGAGTTTGGGAGTCCAGCTGAGAAATTCTAGCATACCATTAGAGCAGAACTTATGAGAGTAAATTCACAGAAGACAGTAAAAAGAATAATTTCATTTTACCAATTTCACTTCTCCCTCAAGGCGGCAGAGCTCAATGCCAGGAGAAACTCCTTCAGCTTACAATTGCCCCCACAGGGGAAAGTAAAAATGTAGTGAGTGAGGCTTTTCCAATTGTGTGAGACATTGTTCAAGAGGCCTACCTCTTTCTTGCCCCATTTAGAGTACTGAGGGAATCAATATGGCTGAGTGGCTGGGAGAGGCTAGGAGCTGAGAGGAGAGGTAGGGACTCTCAGCAACCAAAGTTTAAAATTAAACAAAGAGCTGTATATTCTACTATTCTCCAACAGAAAGTTTGCCCATGGGCTGTTCAGTATGCCTTACCTGTGGACCACCATAACTGACCCAAAGGTTCTCCCAACACATTGTATTTCTCAGCCTCCCATCTATAACTGTAGCTAGCTCCTTTCATGTGCTTGGCTACAACACAAACTTGAGCATTTCAGAGTGTTGCCTAAAAAAACAAGTGAGAGACTCCCAGCACCCAGCCTGGCTTTGTGGGATTGAGAGAGGACAAACAATTTTAAGAAATTCTGCCCAAGAGGAAACAAAATAGGTGAAGCAGGCACATCCATAGCAAAAGTCTGACAGAGACTCAGAATCCCTCATCTGGCTGACTGGTGAGGTGTTTCTCTCCTGAAGCAAGACAGTAAAGACTGAAGAAGGTGACAGAATCTTCAAATGCAAAGACAAGAATACAAGACTTCAAGGAATACAAACAAAACAAGGAAATTTGTCACCACCAAAACAACACACTTTTCTAGTAACCAATCTGAAAGAGGTGGAGCTCCATTAATTGCCTGACAGAAACATCAAAATAAATATTTTAAGGAAGCTGAGTAAGCTACAAGAGGGCCCAGATGGACAACTCAATAAAATCAGAAAATTTATGAATATAACAAGAAGTTAAATGAAGAGACAG